CTTTTGATACATTTAGCTGTGTTCTGCTTTGTATGTTTTACTTTATTTGTTTCATATTTCTTATTTCATCCATGTTTTCAATTATCAGACTAAATTTGCCAATAAATAGGTTGAAAATATATTTTTTGCAGCTTTTAGTTTTTAATGTTAATTTACAATATGGTCACCCAACACTTAATAATAGCCTCTACTTTAAGAGGTAGAGTAGCCAAATGGCTGGCTCACTGCTGCCAACTAGTGGTCAGAGGCTGAACTACAACATAAAAATGAATGGCTGGCAGGAAAGTTGACATTTTAAACCTTAATAAAAAAATCGATACAGGACTTTAGAATATCGATACAGTATCGGGAAATGAAATATCGTGATATTTCAATGTATCGATATTTTCTTACACCCCTATTTATGACATCACTGTGCCAGTTTTTAACAGGCCTGAGTGAGGACAGGGTGTTTTCTGCAAACCATCAGAAACAACATGTTCAGGGTTCCTACAGTTTAAAGCAAGTTAAATTTAAGACTTTTTAAGACTTTTTAATGCCAATTGAAATTGAATTTAAGACCAATTTCATAATCAACACAAATGACAAAAAATAAAAAAAAAAATAAAAAAACAAAAATAAAACTGTAGCAGAAACTCATGAATCTAAGTATTTTGGTTGAAGTATTCAAATATTGCTCATAGACCAACTGTTTTTATCCATATTTAACTGCTTTTTCGGCAAATATAGCAAAAAACATTTGTAGTTTTAGGACCCACAGTGGGGTCTTAACCCCAAATTGCTATAGATGAAACCTTAATTGCCTGTGACACCACATTTTGTAAGAAAAGTTAATGCATTTTTGAAAAGACAGCATTATTAACATATTACAAAACAAACTTCACATTGCTCAGATGGACAGTTGTTGAGATATGTGCGTCCAAGTAACAGGAAGTGATGTCAAAGGGGAATGTCTGCATGCAAATATATATAAAAAATAAATGTTGCCAATTTCTTTAATATTTGAGATTAATTACAATCATCATATTTACAATGTGTTAACGTTTTTAAGACTTCTGAAAGATTGATATAAGACATTTAAAGGCTAATTAAGGCCTTATCTTTGGATTGATGAATTCAATGACTTTTAAGACTTTTTAAGGATCTGCAGGAACCCTGATGTTTCAAAGGTTTTCTAAAGGAGATCCTTGAGAGAAACAGTCCTGCTCTGTGGGTAGGAGGTCACATTCCAAACTGAGTCCAAAGACTCAACTTGAGATCGAGGGGGGGTTAATGTTTTCTGCTTCATTCTAGTTCTGAGTTTTTTTGCAACATTTTCTAACATTGCTTTAACTCTTTGTTGGATTTCAGTGAAAACCACACAGTCGTTACACCTTAACCAACGTCAAATTCAAGCACTTTTTGTCCCAATTCTCAAGCTTTACCAACACTTTTATTGTGGTAATAAATGTTTTTAACAGTGAAGCCAAGATAACAAATGTCACTACGTTATCGCATGTTAACTTGCTTTGAAGAGTCATCACAAATTTTGTGTACTATCTAAAGCAGTGGTTCCCAAAGTTGGGGTCGGGACCCCATCAAGGTGGGGTCCTGAAAAGATTTTCTGAATTAATCACATTTTTGCCTTAGTTGTTACAAATGAGTGAGGTTAGTATATTTAAATGTAGTATAAAAATATTGTTACTATGCCCATGTTTTGTTGACCTGATACAAATGTTTATCATCCAAAAATAGTTGGGGGCACAGGTCTCTGCTACTGTTATTTTGTGGGTCAAAAGCTGAAAAGTTTGGGAACCACTGAACTTTGGTTCCCAAAGTTGGGCTTGGRACCCAATTATGGGTCATGAAGCACCTTGGATAATCCCCAGAAATCAATTTAAAAGGTAATAAAATAATTGCTGATGTAATATATTCCCTATAATTATTACAAAAACACAAAATAAGTAAAAATAAGTATTTAAATTTGTGTATAAGCAGCTTAGATTGTCAAAAAGCCTGTGTTTTTAGGGTTATTAACDAAGTTBGTGTACTCAGACCAGTAATATTTGGGGTCACAAGTTTTTGCCATGGATATTTTGTGGGTCAGAAGATAAAAAGTTTGGGACCCACTGATCTAAAGGAAAGGGTGAAAAATAAAAGACAATTTGAAAACATGCCACATTTCTTAACATTTACACCCAAAACAAGAGGTTTCTGATAACAGAACACAGCCTTTTTTATCCAGCAAATTATCCATCATCAATAAGACATGCTCCAAGATTTCCAGCACCAGTAAGAAGCTTGTTAAACGTACAGTAAAGCAGTCATTTATTCTTAAAAAACACAGGGTAATGAAACTAAACCCTAGCAAAATGTTTCCTTAATAATTAGTCATGAATGTGACAGAAATCGACTGACCATTTAGCTTTGCCAACTGCATCCCAGAAGCCAGGTCGTGGTATATTGCATGGTCCTATTGTAGCTTGTTTATAGTAACTATAAAACTTGAGCATCATGTCATTGGAAGGCTGAAAGGGACCTGAGAAAGAGAAATGATCTGATTATACAAAAAAAAAAAAAAGTATCTAAAAAAGCCACAGAGAACAGGCCTGGAGGTAAAGCAGGCATTGGACTGTTTGTTGTGATCATTCCTGCTGCAGCAGGGAGGCAAGTCTGACCTGTTAAAGTGGATTTCCTAAATCACACAAGCTGCTGAGGGTTTGGAAACACTCACAGCTGCAGGCTGCTTTACTCACCATTCGGTGGTAAACTCTTGATCACTTTCACGGCGGCGTCGAACCTCATTTGGGTCAAACGCGTTTCTTCTTTAACGCTGACACTCTCCACCTCCATGGTGTCATTCACAGGCTGCTAACACAACACAGGCAGTCTGAAAACAACAGCGACACAAAGACAAACACGGGTCTAGGTTACTGACACCAGCCTATTTGTTTTGACCCGCAACAGTCGGAGATTAGGCTAGTACTAAGCGCGCGACGAGTCGTCAGTGACGCACATATTACGAGTTAAATCCCACCATGTCTTTCAAACATTCACTAGAAAAGCTCTGAATCGACAACACATACCGTTGAATTGTTACGCGTATCTATTCGTCAAACAGCAACTTGTCCTTAGAACTAAGCAAGACGCCATGAACAGCAAATAAAAGCTGAGCGGGATTGCATTCTGTGAGTTGTAGTTTTTCGACAGGATCGTTCCGCCTCCATGAAAATATAGCTTTACGTCAAGCTAGCGGGTTATTGGAAACCCACCAAAAGTTATTAAATTTTAAAAAAGTTCTTTTTAATAAATGAAAAGAATATGTATTTTGTTTTCAGTATAAACGTCCAAGCGTGTAAACGACTATTTAGTTATTTTAGAACTACACTTCCCAGCATGCTCTAGTTAATTAGCCAACTTTTTCCGGCTATGGGGCGTGATCATGTGYGTGATAGGCAAACGAATAACAAAAGTAAGATGTTCCACTTGCGTTTTTTTATACCAAATAAGTTGAATGTATGGTCAAACTATTGGCATTTGTCTTGAATATTTTGTATATGTATTGTTTTAGTAATGTTTTAATCATATTGTAATATAATGAATCACATTTTAATTTTTAGTCAAGTTAAATTGAACGATAAAGTTCGGTTAAAGTTCTGCGATCATGCTGTGCAATTTCTCTTCCTTCCAGCTTTCTTTGGATCGTGTTTTGGTTAGATTATAAAACCGATTTAAAAAATATGATTGACACTTCCGTGATAAATTAATAACATTTTCAGTATAAATCACGGAGTTAGATCGCTATGGTATGTAAAAAATGTGGTTGGGAGGAGAACGTGGACACATCCCTTTTAGCGATTGGGTGACTCCTCTTCTTCGTTATAAACGATCTTTGGTTTGAAATCGGGGCCAGGAATCCCACAATAGCAGCCTAAAGGAGTTTTTTTTTTTTTTTTCGAAGCAGAGCTGGGCTGGTGGAGCCTGGCTGTTTCAATCGAAGGGAAGGGACGCAGGACGCAGAGGGAAGAGTCTCTGCTGGGAGAGATGAAAGATGGCAGAGCTACAAATGTTGTTAGAGGAAGAGATTCCAGCTGGTAAAAGAGCGCTCGTGGAGAGTTACCAAAACCTGACCAGAGTAGCCGACTATTGCGAGAACAATTATGTCCAGGTAAGTGAGTTATATTTTATTTATCCGCCGTTTTTTCTCCCCCTTTCCTTTTTCATCTTGTCGCGTAAAGCTCCGGTTTGAACGCTTGTTGGGACAGGAAATGTGGGTAAAGAAACTGGTCTCGCTCATGATAGATAGAAGGTCAAAAAAAAAAGCCCAGAGTTGTAACAACAGTTTTGCCGACTGTGGGACATTTTATTAGCGTTTCTCTTAACCTGCTCTACTTTTTGATCAAATTATTTCGTTTACCCGGAGGGTGTGTCTACTTTCTAGGTCGGTTTAAAAAAAAAAAAACAGCTTCCACACACTACTGATGGACAGGGATGCACGTTTTAAATATATATATATATTTTTACTCGGAGCAAATGTAGTTTTGTTTACGTTTGCAAAATTATTATAGTGGCAAACTTATTGTCAGCAAAATTATATGTCAGCTTCTTTACACTCCATTCCATAAAGGTCATTAAACTCACCATTTAATACCACAAAAACAGTTTTAAGCCCCCACTGGGATCCTGTTACAGTGGTGGTAAAATGTCTGTTACTGGACCTGTGAGCACTCAGAACTAATGGTAGCTTTTATTGTTGCTGCATTAATTTAGATGCATTTTAAGGCTTGTACACCCAGAATGTAAACATAAATGAAGTAAATTCGTTAGTGCGAAACAGAAAAAGTAATGTAAAAGTTAAGCGGGGTATGCATTTTCCAGGTGCTTAGTCTAATCCTGTACCACTATCAAGTAACTGTTACCTTCAGTTATTATGAAAATGCTGTGTATATATCAAAGATAAGTTTGACTTTACATCGTAGTCTATTTAAACACCTTGAAATTGGCCTCTGTCTCTTTAAGAACTTTCTACCATTTCAGACACTCCCACTTCAGCACNGGATCTCGGTGCATTATTGAAAGGTGTGGTAGTTCAAAGATAACGTAATCATCGTGTCTGACTAAACTTGTAGTTACTGTTTAGTTTGGCTAAAACATTGCTTTGTATCAAAAATAAATTCGGGTTTTATTCGTAGCTGTGCTGTCTAAATGTATATGATAATCCAGTCCAATCTAGGGGTGTAAGAAAATATCGATACACTGAAATATCGCGATATTTCATTTTCCGATACTGTATCGATATTCTAAAG